CTCACTGGACTGCAGAATGAAGTGCTCCCCCTGCAGGAGAGACAAGGATATACAAGCCTTTGCTCTGTTCCCCGCAGGAGGAATATGATAAGTATGGGATCCGTATCAGAGTGAAGTTCCGCAGCAGCATGCAGCTCCATGAACTGACGGCGCACCACCAGAGCGGCGGCGAGCGCAGCGTCGCCACCATGCTGTACCTCATGGCATTGCAGGAGCTGAACCGCTGCCCTTTTCGAGTGGTGGACGAGATAAACCAGGTAACACAGCTGCAGTCCAGAAGATCTTTAGAGCCCTACCACACACACGTATGAGCTCTGTGTTGAGGGCTCATTCCCAGCTCTCACATACTTCAGTCAACACCCAGCTATGGCCAAAGACTCCTTACTAACGCTAGTGTAGATATGTACCTGCATGAAGGCATTCTTCAAAAACAAAACCAAAACAAACATTCTTTATTCGCCATTTGCGCAAGTGCATTGGAATGATTCTCTTTGCTGACCCCATCTTGCTCTCTGTAGCTTGGAGGACACAGCGCAGGCTCAGCTAACATGCAGCCCCCCTGCAGCAGGGGGGGCTACGGGCTTACGGTCTGACGGCCATTTAACCCGAAGTTCCCATCTCCTTTGCAGGGCATGGACCCCGTCAACGAAAGGAGGGTTTTTGACATTGTGGTGCAGACAGCCTGCAGAGGCACCACATCACAGTATTTCTTCATCACACCAAAGGTCAGTGTGGATGTCATCAGCCTGTGTGTGTAGCCAGCTTCAGCAGGAAGCCCGGCACTGTGTCTCACAGCCGCCTGTGTGTGTAGCCAGCTTCAGCAGGAAGCCCGGCACTGTGTCTCACAGCCGCCTGTGTGTGTAGCCAGCTTCAGCAGGAAGCCCGGCTCTGTGTCTCACAGCCGCCTGTGTTTCTCCAGCTGTTGCAGAACCTGCACTATGCAGAACACATGACCATTCTCTGTGTCCACAATGGTCCCCGCATGCTTCCTCCCAGCAAATGGAATGAAAAAGATTTCATCCGCCGAATCCGTCGGGGATCAAGCCGCAGCGCTGACAGCTGAGGTGGCGACACCGCGACAGTCTGCCTCCACAACACTGTTGTACTGGTTGATGAGCTTAATCAACAGTAAAGTACAATTTTTTTCCTGAGGTTGATGCCGATCACGGAGCAGCGTGCTGTGTTGAGATCTCTATCGCTGTCAGCGCCTTACATGTTTATCAAATGCTGTACTTTTTGTGTAATAAATTCCTAGTCAATGCAGTTTTTAAGAGTCTGATATCTTTTCCTTCCCAAAAACAAAACCAGTATGTGAACTATTTGTCAGGATCTCCAAGATGGAGTACAGTTTGATACTTTGAGTTCTTGCAGCTAAAATTTCAGTCATAAGTTAACAGTTGTGTGTTTCTTGAACCATTTATGTTGAACTGTTTAATATTTGCATTATAGACAGAGATTGACATAACTGGTACGCGTTCACCATTAAAAGCGATACGTGCGGCAATCGATCATTGTAATGGTGTGAATGCCTATGTATTTTATGTGCATTTGCACCGATATGACAAGAAATTATCCTGCATTTTAACCTTTATATGCTAATTCGTACTTAATGTGCAGTATAGAGGTTAAAATGCAGGGACATTTCTTGTCATATCGGCACAAATGCACATAAAATACGTATTTGCGCTGTTACATTAACGTACCAGTTCTGTCAATCCCTGATTAAAGGCATTACTCTTGCATTACTCTTACTCTGTTATGTTTACTAAACAGTTTGTTCGGTACAGTCATGTCGCAAATACATATAACAGTCAGCAATTCTGAAATAAAACATAATATGACGAGGCGGACCAATAGTTTGTTGCGATGGATCTTGGGGGTGTGATGTCATATGAACGATGCCCAAATAACAAACGTGTCATGGTGGTCAACTTATGAAACGTCACAACTAAATGTCTGTAATTGTAAATGTACGGGTCAATCTCCATTTGTAGTGGAAACCATGTCACCGAGGTTACAGGGTTATAAAACAGGTTTAAAATCCAAGAGTCAACATGCACCTCCACAACTGATGTATGATTAAGTAACATGTTTCTCTTGTGATTGTTTGATTACTTTGTTCAATTTCTACTATATATAATTAATATTGAAGTACATTTATGCCATTTATTTTAAAATACATTTCTCACAGACGTTTTGGTCAATCTTGTTACTGGGACACATTACATTGTGTCATAGTAGCTCTGAGTTACTACATAGAGGCATCGTCTCAAAGAATGAAAAGGTGACTCCACACTCGCTCATCTTATTTAATTAATTGATTATTTTGTTTCTCAGGCAGCACATAAATTCTATGTGTCAAAGGTGTTATGCACTGTGAGGGCTGGGAAGTTCAGTTTTTGTCTAAATGATCACATATGCAGCTCTGGAAAAATCAAGAGACCACAGCAAAAGTTTCAGTTTCACTCATTTCTCAGTTGCGCTTGAGTTTGTTCCTATGTACAATATACTCCTGGCTCTTTCCTTCTTCTCATTGATGAAGAGCTTCTTCCTTGCTTCCGTTCTGCTTCTCAGAGTCTGTTGTGAATTGTCCTAGCAGTCTACTATTTCCCTGGAGGTCATCCCCCAGTTTATGAGGCATACTGGATCAGTTGATGGTCTTCTCTGGCATTTGAAAGTTTCTTCTGCCCTCTATGTGGCCGTTTTTTGGCCATTTCCAGTATCTACAACTTCACCTTGTTCTTTAGTACTCCTGTCTTGGAAACTTGGAGCCTGGCAGTGTAGCTTTCTGCCAGCAGAACCAGGATTAAACCAGGATTTAAAAATGCAGATTAACGTGGTCTCCATTTTTTTCCAGAACTCTACCTTTTATATCATTTAGTTGCACAGTATCCCCCCCCCCTCCCCCCATGGGGCAACCATTAGAAAAACCTTATATGCAGAGTGTCACTGGTAATACAGTGACTGGTAATATAGTCACTGGTGATACACCACATCTGTGGAAGAAAAACAGAAACTGAGGAATGTTATTTAACACAGCTAAATAGAAAATAAGCAAAGGGTATCTGAGCCATAAATGTCTTCTTTTAGAAGTGTCTTCCTCACCCTCCAATGAGTTGTCTTTACTTACACACACACTAGGGTGTGCTGAAGGTGTGCAGTTGTGATTTAACCAATTTTACATCCTTTGTTCCCCAATCCTTCCCAACCATGGTATAGTTTGATAGGGTGGTACCACTAAGTTCCAAAGCTGGTCCCAGGTGCAACAACTCAAGATAGAATGTTCTGTAAGGTTTTAGACAATAGTATCCCTGAATTATGCAGTAATCCAGCTCCTCCTGAAGGCCCTATAATTACCCTGGTCCATCTGTGCTCACTGCCGCGACACTTGTTGTGCGTATGTGTATATATACCCTGCTTGAGCAGGAAAGGGGAGATCATGAGCACTGAATTACTGTAGTTTCCTAGTCTAAGTAGGAAATAAAATATTCTCCCCGTATAAGAACCAAGTCTCTGGCTGAAATTTCTACAACACATCAGTGGCTGATGTTAATGTCTCAGAATAAAAAAGCTAATTAATATTTTGTCTGTGTATTTTACCATTTTGCAAAATAGGCTAAAATCGCTTGTTCCTATTTTTGATGAAATGCTGTCTGTTAAAAAGTAACTCACTTGAACTGTAATTAAATACGGACATAGTGAAATATAAACTGGAAATAACTTTATGACAAAATGAATGTCTCGTGGTTACACCAGAAACAAACTTTGCATTTTAAATTAAAATATATTTGGAATTAAGGCCGTAATTTTGTATGTATGATAACAAGACATGATAATAGACTTATTAAGGAATGAATGGAACTAATTCTTAGAAATGTATCCACTTCCCGCGCCGTATGCCTTTGCAGTGTAGTGTCGCAGAGAGAAGGGGAGCATAAATAAAGCAGAAATTAGCTTGGATTAATGAACAATGAATTGATTTGATTTCCCCTTTCCCAGCATCATGTGTGATTCTCGCACAAACAGGCTCAGCAGGGGACATAAAGCCGCTGATATCCATAATGAGGTGCCTTCACAAATGCGTGAGGGAATTATAAAAGGCATTTCCTCACACAGTCTGATATTACTCCAGACTAGATACATCAACTTATGTGTTCATGCACAATTTATAGTTAACTTTAAAAATGAGTGTATTAAAGATAGTGTATTTAGATTTGTTTGAAAAGAGTTCTAGAAGTTTTTATTTGATAGCTAAACCATTTATATGAGTCTGAAACTAAATTAGGCCTAGTATTTCTTTAGAAATAAGAAATTATACATTTAATTGTATATGTTATCCTTTTTAAAATGTAATTAGTGAGCAGTACTCAATAATTAAGTGAATTTGTTCGTCTTATATAAGTCATTTTACCTGCAATTCTTATACCTGTGTCATACACTGAATCTTCTGTAAATATGAGTTCAAATATGTTCTTGTACTGTGTCTTTGAATGACTTTTTAAGGTCTGCTTAAATATTATGAAATGACACATTACATATTTCAAGTCTCATTGCGCAAATAATTCCCCATTCATTCTGGCCCCCGAAATGAAACGTAAAACCTCATTAAATCTTCAGCACCATATATCCTTCGATGCCCAGTAGTTTCGTATCGCTTGTGTTGACTGCACTTGCAATTCCTGAAAAAATCTTTATTAGCACGGAAATGTGCACCTCTTCGTAGACGTACGCGCTGGCGCGGTCCCAGCTCTCAGGAAACCGCGTGTCGTGTTCAGTAAGTCTTACAAAGGAGCAGATCTTGTGGTCGCACTTACTTGGGTTTCTAAGCACCCTTCGAGCTCCATGGGTTCAGATCACCGCCAGTCACGTGTCGCTGTCAGTCAGGTATTAAGTAGATTGCCTGAGCAGAGACCCATCTGTCCCAGTCCTGAGGTGAAGGCCGGAGCTTCTCCTGTGTCACACTGCTCCTCTGCTCTCTTACACGTAACAAACAACAGGAAATGCCCAGAAACAGAAGTGATGCGGCAGTGGAGGATGGTATGCTTTGTTACATTTTTGAGATACTGCTAGTAACTAAAATCATCTTACAACTACAGAAAGTATTGTGTATAATTTTTTTGTCTTTTTTTTCATGAAAGCTGCGATAATGTATAGTATTTTAAACAAAATTGCATTGTTTTTGAAGAAATTGTGATAAAAACAAAACATTTTTCCATTATTTAAGAAAATGAATACCAGTATCTCTAATACGTCTTCGTACTTATATCAGTTTCAGTAGAAATTGATGAGGAAGAAAGTGAAGATGGTGAGTAAAGCATTATTTTTTCTGTGTTGTGTCTATATTATATGTCTTTTCTTTGTTTATATATGCTTTTTACTTCTAAAGTCGTGCATGTATATGTGTTTGTTTATGGTAGCTGTTTAATACATTTATATGATTCTATGCCTATGGTCTATGCCAGAACGCAAAGGCAGGAGAGGGAATAGGAAGCCAGCCAATGGAAGGGCAGCTAGAGGCAGAAAAACCGTGGATGAGGAGGACGAGGATGAGGATGAGGAAGACGCTCCTAAAAGAAGAAGAGGGGGAAACAAGAAGAAGCCAACAAAAGCCCAGGATAGTGAAGGTGAAAGTGAAGAAGAGGCTCCAAAAAAACAAAGGGGAGGAAACAGGAAGAGAGGTGGTAAAGTGCAGGATAGTGAGGAAAGTGAGGAAGAGAAAGGAAAGAAGGGAAACAAGAAGGGAGCCAATAAGAAAGAGAAAGAGGAGCAGAACAACAAGGAGAAGAAAGGAGATGCCAAAGGAAAGGGAAAGAAGAATGATGATAAAGACAAGAATACAAAAAAGAAGAAAAAAGACAGGTACAGT